TGTGTGTGTGTGTGTGTGTGTGTGTTTCCGCGCGTGTGTTTGTGTGTGTTTGCGCTCGCGCGCATGCAAGACAGAGAGTTGTGTATCAGAGTTGAAAAGTTACATTTCATGAACAAAAATGTGTGGCATCTAAGAAGAAGGACATTGATCTTCAAACCAGGATGTGAGCCCGAGTCCATGAACCAAACGTCATATCATGACTTCAAAGCAAGCGTAGAGGGAAGAGTGTTTGTTCGTTTGTTGGACTGGGTTAATAATGAATATATCATCAAACCTATGACAGCCAAATACAAGATAACCAATCGAGAGGAGGAGGGGAGGGAAAAAATTCACAGACAGACAGACAGACGGATAGACAGACAGAGAGACAGACAGACAAACAATAAGAGGAAAAACTGTTTGCAGGAAGAGTACTCCTTTCCGACCTAGCCGACTTCAAAAGCAGGCAAACGAAAGGAAGAGAAGATGAATAATATGGGAAATGAGAGATATGAGGGGTAAAGGGTATACAGAAAACATGAGATTTTGCAAAGCTTCACCAGACGGTGACCTATCGGACTGGTCCACAATGTGTGCACGGGTCAAGGGTCTGAGAGTGCATTGAACGCGCCGTAATATCGTTGAAATAACGCGGGGACGACATTCAGGGAGGCAACGTAAGCATAACGGAGAACGGGAAGAAAATGTCATGCTTTGAATAAACACCATCAGTCTAATGGACGCCCTGCGGATAAAGTATATAGATTTTATGTGTGTGGTCTATCGAAAGCTTTGAACCAATTTAGATAACTGGAAAATAAAGTTTGTATAGATTGTATTGTTTGCCTGACTTTAAGACGTTACAGGTTTGAGGAAAACAGTGATAATCCCAGCTTTCATGTCATTACTAATTCATTATTGTTTCCTGGGGGAGGGGTGATCATATGAAAAATGTTTTAACTCATGCATCGGTTCAAAAGGGTCATATAAAAGTGCTGCTTGAGTAATTTACCTCTTCTTATTTTCTCGTCTGTCCAGCTTGAATCTGACTCTTCTTTTGGGGTCTCTCCTCGTTCTGCCCGACACTTTGATAAACTGTAACCTTACATTCTTTACTAGTTCGGTTTTCTGCCCCTCTGTAAATGTTTTATCTTTTTAGAATATCTAGTATCCTTCCCATGTCTTGCTTCACGGAGCTAGCAGTTCTGAAGAGGCCTTAAAGGTTAAATGCAAGCAGTTGCTTTTACTTAGGTTTGTCTTCAATGTATGTGTTTGTGGCACGTCACATCTTAGTGAGGACGTTGGAAGGAAGGGTGATGGTTACAGATAAATCCATTGCACACAAGCTCCCTTGAGCTGTGAGACATATCAGCTATACACCCCTGCACTATTTTCGAAACTCCTCCTAATTACTTTAAACTTTATCTGTTCTCTTGTACCTATGGGGCGTTGAGGGGAGAAAGAGCTTTCTGTATCTAGCAAGTTGGATGTCCTGGCCGGGTGGAATGTTGTATATTTTCAGAATATCCTTCACACCCTCGATCCAAGTCTACCTTGGTCTTCCTCTTGTCGTGTACCCTGATATTTTTGTGTAGTGCGCTTTACTGGCAAACTGGTGAGGTGCCATATGAAACTCCTCTCCCAAACTCAACCTTATTATATTTACTCTTCCTCACATCTAAGATCTCTTTATCTCCCCTTCTTCTTTTATCTATCTGTTACTCTCTTCTAACATCTCTAATCTTCCCCACGTGTATTACCTTATTGTGTTGCAAATGCTGTAAAACTCTTACTAAAAACCCCAAATATCAAACCATCAGCTATCATAATCACCTTCTGTTCAACCACAAGCTTCCACTGTGACCTGTACCCTTTTTTCAGAAGAGACACAGTCGCAAACATATTTATTATTTATCAATTTAGAAAATGAAATCTAGGATAAATGTCCAGCATATGGTCGAACTGTTGTCTCTGTATCAGAATTCTCACATCCCAGACGACCAGATCACAAACTCATGCCTCCAGCAGGTTCTATAATTTTCCCTTGTAAACAAAATTTGTTTAAACGCAGTTTTTAAGCTGTTGTATTCAACTGAGACAGGGAAGCTTTGTGCGATAGTTTTCTTGTCTAATCACCAAGTCTGCAGGTGATTCATCTTTGAGCTCCATGGAAAGGTGAAAAAAAATCGAATCAAAGCAACGTTCATTACCATTCTTAGCTCGATCCGTCCCATCGCTCCCTGATGATGCCGCATACCGACAAGATCGTATTTACTGAGCTTAAGAATAAACTCTCCTAAGCTAAGCACTCCAAGGTTAGCCCTACAGCTACAATCTCTTGACGCAAGCGAAGAGAAATAATCCCGAAAATTAATCAATGGGAAAAGATGCTCCGCCTAATGGCCCGAGGAAAGTGGCATTATATTGGACGGTAAAATAGCGGCTTGCTGTGTCCATTTTAGAACGAAGATCGTCTTCCTGCATGGCGTGGAAGGGCCCCTCTAGGATATCTCGTTGCTTAACCCTTTCATTTCTGAAACTCTGGCAACTTTTATTTCATTGTGGGCTAAGACTACACCCCTAGCTCATGTCAAATTCTCTGCTTTAGTGACAGTCTCAACTTTTACAGGTAACATCAAACACTAGATGGATATCTGTGTTTGCTTGATGTGAGAAACTCTTAACCCTTGAATATGAGGAATATCTGACGGTAAATCTTCTGTTCTGTTACTCGACAAATATGTAGATTTTCTGTCCATTATGATGTAAGTTTTGTTCTCTGATTGCGAGCAAAACTATAAGGACATATCATAATTTGACGTGGGTACACCTTGAGGAAAACAACGCTTCAAGACAGTGAAAGCGCTTTATTTGTAAAGTTGTCTTTCGTGGTGTTTGCCGGGAGAGGGGTCTTTTGGCATCCTTTAAGGAGTTAAACTAAAGACTATGACGCCATACACTAGAGCTGCCCTTTTGTTTTATAAACCTCTCGTCTCATCTCCGCCCCCCCCCCCTAGCCCCCCAACCACCACTTCCCCGCACTTCTCGCTTAACTAAATTGCCGTTTCTCGTGTAGGGGTAGGCGACGCAGCAAACAAAATCTGAACAAAGCAAACAAAACAAATTTACAAGCATTTTCGCAAACGCCAAGCTTTCTGTCTCTGGCAAGGGTGATCTACTAAATCATTGCATTGCTACCATTTTTCTTGTCGAAAATTGAAATTACTGCGTCTGAAAAGGAGATAATGTTGCATTAATTAAGATGAATGTGGGGGTGCGAGGAGGATCCTGAGCCTTTCGCTCGTCGGGAGAAAAAGCGGTAAACGAGATGAGAACCCGATAGCACCTTGGGAGCTTGAGTATAAAGTGTTGATGACGTCATATTGATACATTTAAAATTGGTGTGTGTGTGGAGGGGGGGGGGGGGTGAGATTGCTTCATCTTTTGTTTCGACTTCTATGTTTTGTTATCATCGTGAACACTGTTTTCCTGGCTGCATTGGCATTATTTTGTTAGTTCAGTCATGTTTTTAGACCTTTTTAAGTTGTTGTTTGTTTCTTGTCGCTTTTTTTTTTTGTTTTGTTTCGTTTATTTGGACTATTTGGTGGGGCGTAAATATGTATTTCTGTGGGGGTGCGGGGGGGGGGCGTAATCTGTGTGTGGGAGAGTGAAGGATGGAGGGGTAGGGCTTCTATATAATGAAGAGGCCATCATGTTGAGGTCATGTCATCTAACATTAAAATTTTGTCTATTGTCTTACTTCCCTCACTCCTTTATTTATTTATTTCATTTTTTTTCCTTTATTTTTTCCATTGTCATAATCTCGTTTGATACCAGTTCTCTTCTCTAACTACAAAAAAAAACAATCTAAGAAGATCAGACAGAAGAAAATACCTTGCACCCTCGATCGATTTTTCACATGTTAGTCATGTTCATAGTGGGCATAGCTTCAAATGCTATCCCATTGCTGTGAAAACGATTCACATGCGTGCTCTAGTATCATTTAAAGCCGAAATCTCATTAACAACTATTTACAATGGGATTCCGACATCGATAGGCGATACGGCACGACTTCCGACCTCCATGGATGACATCGTGTATACAGACCATAAGGTAGCATGCAATAACAAAACTGGAATCTAACCTATAAAACATCTCTTTAACTTAAACTAAATCTCGTCTCTTCTTATTCTCTGGGTTTCAGGTGGTGTGGAGGCTGTATCCGAAGAACGCAGAACCATTGGTGCTTACTGTCGGCACCTTCACGTGGGTCCGAGGGAATGACATTCAGGTGAGTGCTTTATTTCCCTTTGAGTTTATAACTGCCGAATGAAAGCCATACTCATGTCACTTTATGAGGTGAGGGGGGGGGGGTGCGGCGTCATCGGTCAGCGAGACAACAGACACAAAAGAAGCACACAATATGGTGAGGATTAAATTCAGACCACGTTGAGACTCGACATTAGAAATTTGATGCTTGCCAAGTTCACAACTGGCTTCGGGAAGGTTGCTGTTTCATTATGTCATTGTGTAAAAACGAGTATGAGTAGCATGACGAGGATGTATGTACTCGTAGCTGTTTTTAAAAGGGGAAAAAGACAATAATAACACGTATTATAGACGCCAAAACCTAGAGAAGTTTCACGTAACAAAATGCAGGGCGTTGAGGGAAGAATTCGACTTTAGTCTGGCTTTTGGGGTGTAATTTCTAGAGTGGCTTTTTTTTAAATCGGAAGTTTACGGACCGTTGGAGAGGAAGGCTACTTTCTTGGATCTGTCTTTTAAAATCTTTTGACAACCTACGATGTGTTAGGAGGACTATCAGATGTGATCCATACTGTGAACCAAACATATTCTTAATTATATCTTGTTAAATCTCATAAATATATACATATCTGATGGAGTTCTACAATGAATAGCAACATGTTTTACAATTAAATGTTTTCTGTGAGATTGAAAAAAAAAAAGATTGCTGGCACGTCGTTTCCGACACTCGTTGCTCTTTGGCAGATTTACCTTTTCTCAAGTTTGCAATGAATGTTTAAATAGATCACAAATATGTGCTTTTTTAAGACCTTAATTTCTTTTGGAATGTTTTAAAGAAATGTCTCAGATATACTACAGTCTTCACAACTTCAGAATTTAAATACGTACATTGTAATTCAGCTTCTAAGATCATCACTGAGTTCGGGCCTCCATAAATACGGAACAATAACATAATCTGTTTCTTTGTTTGTCAGGGTTGTGGTACAATAGCTCACTACCCTTCAAACCACCCCACAGCCCCCCCCCCACCTCCACCCCAAACGTCCTTACGGAGTAATATCGAACAGGAAAAAACTGGAATTGTTGAATGATATTAGTGGCATTCCCATTTAATTTTTGAAACACACTTTATGAAACATCAGGTCAGAATCATAATTGATTTTTTTTTAATATTTGAAAATATCCCTCATAGATTTCTCCCATCTGTTATATGCTCCCCAAAGCGGTCTGTAAAACATTCTCAGCTGCTATTTTATGGCCCCAAAGATTCGCTTTAAATGAGAAGAGCAGCACGTATTTCCCAACATCTACATCCTGTACACTAATAGTTATTAGAATGTGAATATTATGGGATTATTTTTTTGCGTTTCTTTACACAAGGTTTTATGGTGAATCAATGGAAACTGGTTTCCTTGAGCAGAGCTTAGAAAACCTCACGAAATAATGTACTCTCAAAAGTCACACCAATGGAAACCAACTGAGGTTTCACTTTTAATGCCCATAAAACACGTTTAGAGACTGCTTTGTAGTTTGTAGAATGTTCGTTTATAAACGTTTTATAACATCGCATGTGCGTGTGTATATACTTTGTGTGTATGTACATGTCGCCAGTATGTGTGTATGTATGTGTCACCTGTGTGTGTTCATGTATGTGTCGCCTGTATATCAGTATGTGTCTGTACTTCTACCTCCATATTACGGATGGGTGTGTGTATTCTCAGGTGGAGTATAAGATGGAAGAAGGTTTCATCACACGCTGGGATCTGGTCATGAGGAACGTGCAGATGGAGGACGAGGGAACGTACGAGTGTCAGGTGACAGACAAAGTGCCCATCAGGACGCACGTCCACCTCACAGTCAAACGTGAGTACACCTCGTGCGTTTTCCCTGTCGTTATATTATAAAGTGTGAGCATGGCAATGAAAGTTAGGTAGTGAATAATGATGGTGAGGAGGAGGTGGAAGAGGGGAAGGAGGAGATGGAAGAAAAGGAGGAGGATGGTAATGATGATGATATGATGGTGGTGGTGGTGGTACTTGGGGGGGGGTGTCTGTCTCTCTGTCTCTGTCTCTGTCTCTGTCTGTCTGTGTCTGTGTCTTTGTCTTTGTCTGGGTCTGTGATATGAAAAGTGTTACTTGGACACGTATGTCGCCGTGCAGTCTGCAAGCCTTTGTCTATCGTCGTGTTAACCTGTTTCTATAACTAT